GCCAGTGCGAGCTCGGCCTCTCCTCAGCCCCCACCGCCAGCCGGCTAGAGTGAGCTGGGTGTGCGCGGGGGGTGCTGACAGCCACCAGCACGCCCCTCTGGCATTTCTTCTCAGGCCCTGACTCTGCCCCTCGTCCCCTGAAGCCCGGGGCCTGCTTGCCTTGTGAAGATGCCTGCAGGCTCTCCCCTCACTGCGGCCCCTGCTTCCCCTCTCCGCCGAACCGGGCTGAAACGCTGGCTCTCCGGCTCCATCTGTTCAAGCCTCGTTGGCCCGTGGCCTCCAGGCTAGCAGGTCCTGGCCCACTGTTCCTACTTTGGATCCTGAAATGCCTATAGCCCCTGTTTTGTCTATACCCTCAGAACCAAGACTATGTGACAACCTGTCAAAAAAACAGAGTCACAGTAGTGGGAAGCCATCCCTGTCTGGGGAGTGAGGAGGAGAGAGACACACAATGGCTTGAGGAAAACTTTTCCCTCACTAGGCGTCCATCCAAAGGGAGCCTCCCCCTGGACCGCTCCATCTGCCTGTTTACGTGTGTGGACATCTGGACCACAGGCTGGCCTATATTTAGTCCTAATGGCTCTAGTTTTCCATTCCAGAAGCTGAGGAAACCTAAAAGCATTAAAAGCTGGGGCTGAAACAGTTATAGTAATTGACACACTTTTCTCTTATGAAGGCAAAAGAGCAGAGGGTAACACCAAACAGAAGTTAACAACGTTAACGAAAGTCATCTTTCTTCACTTCCCAACTATTATTCATTAGGAGAGTGTCTCTAGGAGTCTCTGGGGAGCTCCCTAGTTCAGAGGAGGTTTATTTCAGCCCCTCGTCTCCCTTCAGTGTCTTTGCTAATATTAGAGATTAACCAATAAATTACTGAAAGAGGAAAAGCTAAAAAGGAATAAGTCTTTGCTCTCTCCCACATAAAGCACCTGAGTAGAAATGCTCCTCTGCCCTGGGACTTCAGGTGTGTGCCACTTTAATTTACCTGTCAGCATAACCAGTGATTTTTTTTTTTTTTTAATATATCTTTATCAATTTCAGAGAGAGGAAAGGAGAGGGAGAGAGAAAGAAATATCAATGATGAGAGTCATTGATCTGCTGCCTTCTGCTTGCCCCCCAACTGGGGATCGAGCCTGCAACCCAGGCATGTGTCCTGACCAGGAGGAAATCGAACTGAGATCTCCTGGATCATAGGTTGATGCTCAACCACTGAGCCACGCCAGCTGGGCCCAGTGATCTTTTTTATTGCTGCATTTAACCTTCCTCACAGACACTAAAATGCTGCCGTAACACTCACACACACTTTTCCCAGTCGACGAACCCTCGGTATCACTTGTCTGCTGGTCTTCCAAAACTGTGAGCTGAGCATGCCTTTAGGTTACCTTCCACTCAAAACAAAAGGCAAAGTACTTACTCCCTTGAGAGCACACCATTGGCCAGGATTCCTTCATATCGACTTATCCCTTTGTGCTGAAGCACACTGATCTGGCCGCCCAGTTCATCTGCAATGACTCCTGCGTGGATGGCCGCTTTGCACAGTAAAGAGTTCTGAAACACAGCAACACTGTCGCTCGCAGCTTACTCAAGAAAGCATTTAAAATATAGTGGGAGCTTTCCACTTTGTTATAACTTGTGGTCAGGATCCCTAATCGACCCATGACATTGTTTACCTATAATTCATTTACATAAAAGTAAAAGGGGGAGGACAAATGTTAACATACCACTATCTCAATGACACCAGTCACCATATGTCCCCTGACTAACTTGGGAACCTATCCACTAGGTGGGTAAGTAGGTACTTTACGGTAGTAGTGGTCCCCCCAATGAATAACACCTCCTGGCGACCATGCCCTTGTGCAGTCGCCTCCCACACTGACTCTAACTGGCCATGTAGCTTGTTCTGCTGCACATGTGAGGCCACCTTTGGCTATCTGGCCACTTTTGACCCTCTGGCCTTAGGTTACCCACCGTGTGACTGCAGCCACAGGAGCTGTTCTAGGCAAAGGTAGTTAAAGAACTGAACAGCCCAAATTGCTGAGCCACAAACTCATCAGCAATAAAAGGGGTTTTTTTTTAAGCCACTAAGTTTTGGGGTGGGAAAAATAGATAACTGTTCAGCAGAAATAGATAACTGATCAGAGTTTCTTACATTTCGTTTACCAGATGTACACACTGAGGGCCATTTGAAAAGGTGAACTTTATACACCACGCTTCATTTAGAGATTTAAGTAGGCATTTAAAACAAAATAATGTCAGAACACTAAATGACTGCTGTCTGGTATGACAACCCATGCAGGAGCACCTGAGTGGCTGAGTAGCCAGCGGCCCTATGATTGAAATTGGCCTATTGGGAAGTGGAGCTGGAGGACGGACTAGAACTTTTCAATGGGTTGCCCAGGTCCTCGGTTCCCATGAGCACAGACCTGTGTGGGAGGATGACTAGACAGATTGTAACCAATCTTGCTAGGAGAATCCCTTGTTAGGAAACTCTCCTTGGAAGGCCCACAAGGCAAGGAGCTGAGGACAGCCTCCAGCCAAAACCGAGGAAGAAACTGAGCTCCTCCATCAGAAAATCTGAATGTTGCCAACACCATGTGAGCGTAGAAGCCACTCCTTCCCCAGTCAAGTCTCAGATGAGACTGCAGGCCTGGCTGACACCTTGGATGCACCCTTCAGACACTGAAGCAGAGGACTCAGCTAAGCCATGCCCAAACTCACAGCCTACAGAACATGAGAGATAATGCATGTATTGTTTTAAGCTTCTAGGTTTACGGTAATATTGTTAAGTAGCAATAGATATCTGGTATACCCACAATATACAAAAAAGGCACTAATCAGATTTCTTTGAAGAGATTAGTTTTCAAAATACAAATTTTCCCTCCAGATAAAATCATTCTAAAAGCAAACGGTGTAAAACCAATGAGTGAGTCAAGTAGGAAACCTGTTTGCAGCACTTGCAAATCGTGTATGCAGATCTACTGCGCAGGAAACCATTTGTTTACCTATTACGCTGAAAAATAAATCTGTCAAGAGGAGGCAAGATAAACAACTAAGTAAGAAAAAAATGATGCTATCTCTCAAATTGTACATAATTCTTAAGTTTCTTGCATGGTACCGGAAATAATAAAGAAAAACTTTCCATCACTGGGGGGAAAACTATACTTTTTATTTCTCTTAGTTAATTTCCTGAAGTCATTTAGGAATAGCCTGTGCCAAGCTTATCTTCAGACTGAGGTAGTATAGATCACTTTAAGGTTCAAACAATTTATAGGCCAAATGAATATCCTGTGTGAATCTTGTAAATAAAGACAATACATGAAAAGGAAATAAAGACCAAAATAACAAAAGCTGCTGCTTCCAGAATCAGGATGTGCTAACAGCAAAAAGGGAGGGGCAGGGGGGTGATGGGGACATCTGTAATACTTTCAACAACAACAAAAAAAGGCAAGTTTTCCCTCCTGCTGGAGATGAAGAATCAGTCTTCTAGAACATGAATGCTCTAGAATGCTTTCCCTGTGCTTGAAGACACATGCCAGTAACTCTTAGGAAAGTCTCATCACATTTCTAATAACTCAAGCACATTCCTGTAAACTCAATTATTTTAAATAGCAATGTAACATTTAAAAAATCAGGTATCGGCTTTCCAGGATAGAAATCTGTAAATAGTAAGAAATGAAAGACTGTGATTCTGGAGACAGGACATATACTTTAGAAAAATGACTTCTTGTGAATTTATTTCTCTCTGGGAAAAGTGTATATAACCCAGAAAGTCTCATTAGGCATAAGAAATTGGGGAGCAAGGAGGGAGGGGGATAATATATAAGAACAGGGCAGAGGGCTCCACTGGTCCCAGGCACACTGTCACTGTTCTGTGATGTGAATGTTCGTGACCTTGGCTATCATTACATGAACCAAATGGAGCGTTACAATAAAGAAATAAAGTATAACAAAAAGATGGCCTCTTATTAAAACTAGATGGAATTATATTCTTAGGTCTTGAAAAAGGTTTCGTTTTACCATTTCATTTACATTGTGCTTAATGAGAAATGCTAAAAATAGGAATGAATACATGAATAAACTCGGTTCTTATACTTATTATTTTATTTCATTTAATCCCAGAAAAAAGAGAATTGTATATCTATCTGCACTGTTTTATATCTTATTTGATTTTACTCTGTAATGAATTTAGGCACAGCGACAGCACTTGCTCTTTTTAATTTCCTCCCTGCCATAAAATTCCCCTCAATCACTTACATCTCTATATCCATCCACCATGTTCCCAAAAATGTCTCCTGCTATGTCTTTACAACCAGCTGGGCAGAATTTGCTAAAAGAAAAAAAAAAAAAAAGAATTTAAATTTGATTAAATTATACTTAAATTTAAAAGTATTAAATTATACTTAAAACCATTTCTCTCCATAGTACACACAGGAGGGAATACTTTGCTCTAATGACAAGTTAGAAACCTGATTTATAAAAACACAGATTAATATAAAATGTTACTCTGAAAGCAAGTATTACACATAATTATTTGTTTTATATAAGGAGTCACTATAAACCTTATTAAACAATGAGCTTCCCTAATGTATCTTAATTGATCCTAAGTCCAAGAAATATTTTTTTAAAGAGCAAAATTTCTAAATACTATATATGGCAGGACCTTGTTTTTATAAAGATATATTTAAAATATGTAAAATAACAACTTATATTTTCTGTGGATAAAAAGACAAGGAATTACATCTGGATTCTAGTGGGATTTTGAGAAAATTCCACTTTCTGTTATGTAACTCTAATATCTTGATTCAGTCTACTAACAACATCCAATAGAAACATAATGGAAGCCACATATGTAAATCTATATATTCTACTAGCCACATTAAAAAAGTGAAAAGAAACAGAAAAAAAACCCCACTAATATGAATAATATATTTTACTTAACCCAATATATTCAAATGATATTATTTCCACATGTAATGAACAGGAAAGATTATCAATGAGGTATTTTCAGCCTTTTTGTGTGTGTGTACCAAGTCTTCAAAATCTGTGGTATATTTTATACTTAAAACACACCTCAGTTTGAACTAGCCATGCATGGCTGGTATTGGACAGCGATGGTCACATTAGTTATGAACCACTTTTACAATCAGAAAAAAAGCTGTATATGTATATTTCAGCTTTATTGAAGTATAACTGACAAAACTGTAAAATATTTAAAGTGTACATCATGATGACTTATGCTACCCATGTAGTTAGCATGTCTACCATCTCATGTAACTTTATATACAAATATATATGCATTTTAAATACATACATATATATATATATATGAGATAATTTAGTCCTACTCTCTAGGGAATTTCAATTACACAACACAGTGCTATCAGCTACAGTCACCCTGTTACACATTAGATCCTCAGACCTTACTCCTCTTGTAGCTGGAAGTTTATACCCTTTTACCAACCTCTCTCGATTTCCCCTATACTCCAGCCCTTAGCAAACTACTTTTCTATAAGTTTGACTTAAAAAGGTATACTTTAAAATTAGGATCCCATTTACTTAACAGTTATTTTTCAAGAAACTTTCCAGAAATATTTCATGGCATGTGGTTTGGTGGAAGGGCCTAGGGCGGGTGCCCCATGCACTGGTACCACCTAGCTGGCTGTGTGGCCCTGAAGAGTGCATTTAACACCCCTTAAGTTCATCTGTAGTTCCTTCAAGAGTCAACATATCAATAGGCTATGAATGGCAGCTATACATCTATGAAAAACATGCAAAAAGAAAGTCAAAATATTATAAGAACAATTACAACTTTGAAGATGAAAGCCATATGCCCTTGTTTCTATATACACTGCATTACAATGTTTACTCGGTTTGTTTAAAAAGAATGTACTAGCCCAAACAGATTCCAAAATAGCAGCTGCTTTGACTTCCTTTCCTCTCAGTTTCCTCCTGATGACTTAGCAAATGAGATGAGTAACAACATATGATTATCAAAACTACCCAAATAACTCACAATTCTTTCCCATTGTCCTAACAGAGTCCAGCATTCCAGCAATGATCAAGGAATTAAGAAATAAAAATAATGGGGAATACTACTACAGGTTTACAGTTCCTTATCCGAATCCGTAGAACCAGACGTATTTCAGAATTCAGACTTTTTTGCATCTTAGAAAGTAAAATAGTTCCAATGATGTATATGATGTAAGACCCTGTGAGGTCTACACATATTAATCAAAAACATTAATATCTCTGTGTCAAATACATGAATAGTCATATTAAGTCAAATACATAGAGACTAAATAGACTTCTTAATTTTAGTCCAATTTTGCCATCAAATGAATTTAAGATCACGTTAATCAGGTATTGCCACCAAATGAGTCACAAAAACCTTTTGACTTTTAAAGCTTTCTGCATTTCATAATTAATAAATAAGGAATTGTGGACCTGTATTAGGCATCAGACCTCATATTTACTTAAACACTACAAACGGTTGGGCTACAGCTTAGATCAGTGATTTCAACCTCTTTCCTCTCAAAAAAAAAAGAATATTTCTTGTCAATCTGACAAAAAAAATAGGTATAATTTTGATTCATTCACGCTGGATGGCTACTGTTGTGTTGGCTGCTGTCATTTTTTAATTTGACAATCTAAGGGAAAAGAGATCACGGTCCCTGAATAAATAGTCAGGTAGTGCATGTTTTAAAAATTCTTGTGGCTCACCAGTGTGCCACGGCATACCTGTTGAAAATCGCTGGCTTAGGTGATCTGGAACCATAACCTCACTCTGCAGGCCTCATATATTCCTTTCTTTAGGAGGACAGAGAATGATCACTGGTGCCCAGAGCCCCGTCACCCCCAGATAGGTATGGTTGAAAAGCTCTCAGAGAATGCTGGCGTAAATCTACATCAGATGAATGGCAACTTTACAGGGCAATGTTTAATTATTGGTCATTTTTATTTTTGTTTTTCTCTACTAGACTTAATATTAATTAACACTAGAGTTGATTCTGCAAATAAAATAATCTCATTTATTAGAATGTTCGAGGTGATTAAGACCATGCACTCTTGGGTCTGACTCTGGATATACTTGTTAAGTGTGCGGTCCTGGGCAAGCTACTGAACTGCCTGGTGCCTCTGTTTCGGGGTAAGAACCTACCTTGTAGGCATGTTGGGACATTCACATGAGTTATTTATATGCTAAGTCCAGGCACTAAGAAAGCACTCTAAGGAGTTATAGCTATTGTTAGTGTTATTGGCAATGATCTCTAGACCATTGGTTCTCAACTGGGTGTGAATTTTGCCAACTGGGAAACATCTGGGAATGTCTGGAGGCGCTTTTGGTTACCACACTGGCATGTAGAGGCAGAGGCCAGGGTTACTGCTGAACATCCAACAATGCACAAAGCAGCCCTGCACAACAAAGAATCTGACCCCAAATATCAGTGGTGCTAAGGGTGAGAAATCCTGCTCTAGGCTCTTCTATGTTACAGGTGAGGAAATGCACCTCAAAGAGATTAAGCCATTTTCCAGTTAAAGCTGGGATGGAAATTTTCATCTCTAATTCTCAGTAGGTTTCTCATTTGTGAGAAAGACAAAGTAAACATCCTCCAAAAGTCAAAGAATTAACAAAAGTCACTCCCACTGCAAGCCAGGTAAGAAATGCACTCTAGACTCCATTATGGCTTATTGGTGCTACAGCGGAACTCAGGGGTCAGCACTCAGAGCTCAAGGGCCAGACTCAGGGTGCTGCTTGTTGTTGTAGTAAATAAAGTTTTATTGGAACACAGCCTTGCTCATTTGTTTACATCTAGTCCACGGCTGCTTTTGCATTACAGCGGCAACAAAACTGTATGAATAGATGCAAAAGAGATGGCATGACCTGGAAATAAACCTAAAATAGTTACTACCTGGCCCTTGACTGGGAAAGTTTGCTTACCTCTGCTGTATAAGAAGCCATTTCAAATACTATTCCTTGAAAGTTACTACATAGATGATTTTTAAAATTAAGTACAAATAATATTTTATTTAATGTCAAGGTAAGCAAAATGTTCAACAACATATAACTGCAGCACAGCCTATATTTACCTGTATTCTGTCTCCAAATAATGGTTAGCTCGTTCCAAACACGTTATTAAATCTGTCATAAAGATAATTGTAATTAGCAGACTGAATGGAAGTTAGGATGCTTGAAAGATTTCTTTTAAAATAAAAAAGACAATTTTTAAAAAGCATTTATTCTTTATCTAGTGAAAATTAAGTAAAAAAAAAAAAAAGAACCTAAATTATAATCCCTTCACTTTCCATATGGGGAAAGGGTCATAGTGAAGAAAGAAAACAGCACAGTGTGCTCAGGATTCAACAGTTCCCTTCATTTCTCTTTCCTACCACCTATGATGGCTTTTCAGTGGTTGTCCAGTGAGTGACAACAGAATCTATTCCCAACAGAAAAGCCAACATTGGTTAGTTGCTATCCACTACATGCCTACAAGATCATGTGTATAACCTCCTGTGGCAGAAGCAAAACAATTTTAAAGCCCAATGTGGTTCATAGAGAAGGTTCGGGAACACTGTAATTTAACAATTTAGCTAGTAGCCTCTGAGTGACCAAGAACCAGGTGTTTACAGAGAACACAAATAGCCTCTCAACTTTGACCGTTATGGACCAAGGACGTAAAAAGAGGGTGATCTTTGGGTATGGAACCAAACTAATACTCAGCAATGGAGATGCTAAGATACTATGGATTTTTATGGATTTCTATCAACCTAGTATAGTTTCCAAAATATTCCACACTTGCAATAAATAGTTCTTTCTTTCCTTAATCTTTTCAATAGTTCTTAGGGAGTAACATATGGTGAACACTAGCCATGCTAGGGCCTGCTGGCTTTGGTCAGATCTGATTGGATGGGAGGGGAATGAATGGTGCTCCCCCTCCCCAGAGTAATTCTGCCAAAGGGGACTGAATGTAGAAATTCTGGGCCCCTCTGTGCCCTGGGCAGACACAAAGTGGGCTGCACAGTAATTACTCTGGAGTATAAGAGGCCTGGACAGAGCCCACGCTTTCCTCTCTCATCAGTGTTGGGGCCTCCCTTCTCTCCTGCTCAGGTGCCAGCTGCGTAGTTAGTGGGCTCTTTAATAGTTGACTACATCCTGCTCAGGTTCACATGCCTCCATGCTGGTGAACTGGGGTGTGTGTGTGTGTGTGTGTGTGTGTGTGTGTGTGTGTGTGTGTGTGTGTGTGTGTGTGTGTGTGTGTGTGTGTGTGTGTGTGTGTGTGTGTGTGTGTGT